GCTCGGTGCAGTTTCCCCAGCCGGGCGACCCGGAACCCGCGCACCCGCGCTCTAGGGGGCTCGGCGCGGAGAACGCCAGCTCTGGATTCTACCCCAAGCCCTGTCTCGGCCGCGAGTTTGGCGCTGAGAGCGGGAGAAGGAGGGCAAACACTTTGTTTTCTAGGTCGCCCTTGCAGGCGCTTGCAGTCGCTCGCGTTTCTAACCTGTTCCTCCCCTCTGGACGGCAAAAGTTCTGGGCGAGTCTGACCTGCGGCAGAGGCGCCAGTGGGGCTGGGTTGCTCGCCTCACCAGAACCCGAGATCCGGTGGGTGGAAAAAGGACAGTGCCGGGTGGAAGGAGTCCCCGCTTCTACTCGGTTTGGACCGTCTATCCCGGTGCTGGTGGGAGCGTCGCCCAGCGTGGCGCCGCGTCTCTGAAATTCGGAAGTGCAGCTTTCTCTTTTTTCTTCCGTTCTCCGTGGTCGGTCTAGATCACATTTTTTTCCCCCCTGAACCTAGTACAGGAAGAAAGTCATCAAGTGGTCGCGATCATTTTCCATTACCTGAAAGCAGGTTAGCAAAAAAAGAAGATAGCTTATCCCCCCCGCCCCGGGTTTCAGGTTTTTCTTTTCTTTTAATCTTGTGCATTTTTTACACAGCGGTTTCTGTGTCGGTTTGCCCCACCCTAGTGCTATAGTCATTTCCCCTTAATCCTTAGTCTGATCACACACTGTTCTTAATGGGGGTTTCAAAGCACTTTCAAAGGGGAGGGAGGAAGTGGGAGAGCACATAAGGGGGGGGCTGCGAAAGAGAGGGCCGGGAACCGTCAGAAATCGAGGGTTTTTTTGTTTTGTTTTGTTTTGTTTTTTGTTTTTCCTCTCAGTGATGCTACTTTTGCACTGCAAACAATTCTCTACCAAAAGTTTCCACCCCAGGAGTCCGGGTCCTTTACACTCGGCGTATATGGGCCGGGGGTCCTCTGGAAAGTTAATTTATCTTTTTAACTCTTAAGAAATAGGTCTCTTCCTTCGTGATCTAAAAGGAGATTGGAGTGTGCAGATTTCAGGCAGTGCTCCCTGGGGTCGGTGCACCGTGGAGTCGCTGTCTGCGCGGGTAGAGCTCTGTCCCGGCCGTGCGCCTGAGGCCGGCTTTCTTTCCCTGGCCCTTGGTTTTGGTACCAGTGCTGGACG